GGCAGTAGTGTTCTTTGACAAACATGGATGCCTCCAGTAAAACACATTCAGATGAAAATTACTCTGAATTAAAAACACTGATCATTTATTGAACAGGATGGAATAATTTCATATTTAAAGTACTTTCAGAAGTTTGAATTCTGAATACGACCAGACTTCTCCTTTAAACTATTTATCAGAATACCAGAGGAAACAGGCAAAAAGCTGGTTATATAAAAAAGGTTAGGTAGATGTAATGGAGATTGTTGTGCACCCCCGATAAATGAAAATGTTGCAAATACTTATTTAACATCCAAGTTTCTGTTAAAATTAGAATCAAAATCCCTTACGTTTTCAAAATAGCCCATATTTGTGGCAATGCCTGTTTCTATAAGGAGTTTATGACATTACTCTATACCGTTAATTACTTTCTGTACATTTTGAAATGGTTTAATATTGTCCAATATCAATCTTTATATAAGAACGCCTATTAAATATCTTACTAAAGTTGTTCCATAAAGTTTTTTGACTGCCAAAAAGAAAAAAGTCTGTAAACTATTAGTGGTCTGCAGACTGTAGAGCTGGACATGACAGCAACAATAAGATATTCCTTCAAAAGCTCTTTAATTAAGTGATGCATCATAAAACTTTACAAGCTGAAACAGTCGTACGACAAGATCTCCCACTTTGAACAACGACACAAATACAACAAAACAACGATAATGAGTAGTTATACAGTTAGCAGAAATGGATCAATGGTTACATTTAAAAAAAAGATTTGCACCACAAATATAAATCATTCAGTGACACCATATTGCATAAAAATATTTCAAACGGAGCACCGAACTGCTGTTCATATGTTCCCATTTCTGCTACTTCTAGAGTTATAAACACAGATCCCAGCTGTGGAGGAAAAGGCTGCAGGGATGTGGATGAAATGATATGAAGAAATTATTCAGAGCATTTTTATGGTATGTTGCGCTGATTTTGGGTTGCACCATGTTAAAACACATCAACTGCGTATAGTTAAAGTAATGCACATTAAAAGACTACATGTTGACAGTATTTCTAATTCATATTAATAGGAAGCAGGAGGACAAAAGTCTGTAAACAACTCAGATGAAAATAATGGATAAACCACCTCAGGCTTAACAGCATGTATTTAATCACAGTCCATTCATAGTAAAAGTCAGTAATAAGTTAAAGTTTGATGCTGTAATAATTGATTGCTCATGATTAATAGTTAAAAATATTAAACTTTTACCTTTCTGTGGATCAACATCCATTTTTAAAAATCTATTTTCATCCTAACTACATAAAAAAATATAAGGACGAATCTAACTTCAAAAATGATTTGATTATAATTTGAAAAACATAAAGTTCAATCCATATATATATATTACTATTTCATATTTGAAGCATGTCGATGGCATGTCTGATTCACCCCCGCTAAGGTGGACAAGACCAGCAGAAGAGTATGAGTATTTTTAGTTCATATTTAAATCATTTCAATGGACTGATTATTGTGCCAATTAACTGTTTTTATATATTTTAAGTTTTTTTTCCAAAATTGTTGGAACTGGTCTTGATTTAAAAAATGGTTTACTGTAGAATCTAGGTTTTTTTCTCTATACCCAACACTGCAAAATGTCAGAATCATCTACTGTAATAAAATAGTGACTGCTTACAATCTATAAATTCCACCCTAAATTTCCACCCTCTAAAATCTAATTCTTTAAGGATTTAAACAATATATCTCTCAGTTAAACTGTATTGAATAAGCAAACTTGGTTCATCTGATAGTTTTTTTAAGGAAAAAACTTTCCTAAACCTTCAGTTAAACACCAGTCCAACTCGGTAAAACTAAACAAACTCTCTTAGACATGAATCACAGTTCCGTTTTTGTAAAAGCTTACAACACATTTGGGAAATACAGTAGCCCATGATAAAGACCAATGCAACGTTTAACAGTTAAAGTCTAGTTAGATCACTAGAAATCAGAAAAATAATGAGGTGGATATATAAAGTGTCAAATTAGTGAAGCCTCGTCTGGGATGCTGGTAACGATTCATCCAGGTCATATTCATTCCAAAAAAGTAAAAAAACAATCCACTGGACTTTGTTTCCAAGTTTGAAGACGTTTAGCTTCTCATCCAGGAAGCTTTTTCAATGAAAAAAGTCAGAAATAGCGTTGAGTTTGAGGCTTTATACAGCAGCCTATCAAAGCCTTGTTTTTGTTTAGAAAACTTGCAAATTGAAGCAGACACACGGGTCCACCTCTTTAGAATGAGGGGTGTTTGGCTCCTTTGTTAGCCTGCAATGCCCCATACCTGTCTATGTCTCTGAAAGGGGGGTTAAATTCCCTTTAATGACAGCACTCAATGCTATTCTGACATTTTGAATTGAAAAAGCTTCCTGGATGGGAAGCCAAACGTCTTCAAACCTGATAGGGGATGTTAACAGTTTAACACCTGGCCTGGAAATGAGAGCAGAAATAATTTGATCTAGACGCTTTGGGGCAAACCTTTATCCTATAGACCTTCAGACTAATCAAAATAAGATAGACAGGGGTTTTCATGTTTTGGAACCTGAAAACTTTAATGGACAGTTCCAAAGATGTGATCTACAAATTCATTTGATCAAAGTAGAACTTTGATCCTTATACAGTTCCATAAGTTTCATGTCAGGTTATTACTGGATTTTTCTTTTCTGGTTATGGAGGTCCAGTGTTCTGCAGAATAAAGATGTTTCTCTGCTTTAACAAACCTGAATGTGGGATCTTGTACGTTGAGGAGGCATTTTTTAAGTCATTTTATTCAGGTGTGGAAGCAAAGACATCTAGAATATGTAGGACACTGGATAACGAGCACGAGAATTGAGCAACGCTGAGTTACTAACATTGTAGTTAAACCAAGATGGACTTAATGGCAAAAAAAAAAGTGTTGATAAGTAGTCACATTAAGCACAAAACCCCCATAATAAAACTAATATTTATTTATAATCTGTACAGGAATATGACCGAAAGTTATTTGTGATTGTCTTCTGTTTGCCTACAAATGCCTAACATATTACATCATGCTTAGTTAATCGTGTCTCCCCATAATGGTAATAAAAACAGCATTGACCACACAAATGTTGGATAGCTTCAAATCATGGAAGGGGTGCTGTGGTAGCCAGCAACTCCCAAATGGAGTGTGCTCAGATGCTCAGTTGCATTGAGACCATGTGAATTTGGAGGCCAAGTTAACACTTAACATTCGTTGGCGAAGTCATTCTGAAATAATGTTTATATAAAAGTGTGAACAAGCTTTGTGTAGGTAGGTGGTACATGTCAAAGTGAGACACAAAGGATCCTCAGAGGGAACATTACCCTTTGACACATTGAGTTCTTTGTCTAATAAAGTGTATTGCCCACTGAAATTAGATTATTGACCCATGTCTTTTAAACATGGGTCCACCAGCTGACAAGCATTTAGCTCCCTTCCCATTGGCAATAAAAAGCTTGGTCTAACCCCACACTAATGGAAGAAAAACGGTCTCATTGGAATCTGGCTTTTTTTTAACACCGAACTTTAAGCACTGAATTTTCTTAACACTGAATTTTAAACACTGACTTCTTTTAACACCGAATTTTAAACACAGAATTTTTTTAGACAATGAATTCCTTACACTCAATTTTTATCTGGTAAAAATTCACCAGAAAAAAATACAGCTGCAAAAAAATTCAGCTGCAAAAAATTTAGCTGCAAAAATTCAGCTGCAAATGTGTTGAACTTTTGGTTAACTCAAGCCAAAGCGATCTACACTCGATAGAGTCGAGCAGCTTAAGAAGAAGCAGCCGGCGGCATGAAGAAGAAAAAACTTTGCCGCCGGCCGCTTCTTCCGGATCAAACCAAGAGCCTTGGCAGAGAGGGGTTTCATACTAGCTGTGATCGGCTCGGTTATTTAACCCGGTCTGATAAGAGGAAAAACTCTAATAGCTGTCTGTTGGTAGCTAACAGACGTTTTGTAATTCTGTCTCTTTAACAAAAAAAGAAAAAAATTCCTCATTCAGCTGGTAACAGCACTGAGCCCAGCCGTCGTGTCACATGACCAAATGAGCTAATTTCATTTGCTAGAAGCTGCTTGACTCTATCGAGTGTAGATTGCTTTGGCTTGAGTTCACCAAAAGGTCAACACTTTTTTGGCTGAATTTTTACCGCTGAATTTTTTTTCTGGTGAATTTTTACCAGATAAAAATTGAGTGTAAGGAATTCAAAAAAATTCTGTGTTAAAAAATTCAGTGTTTAAAATTTGGTGTTAAAAAATTCAGTGTTTAAAATTTGGTGTTAAAAAAATTCAGTGTTTAAAATTCGGTGTTAAAAAAATTCAGTGTTTAAATTTGGTGTTAAAAAAATTCAGTGTTTAAAATTCGGTGTTAAAAAAATTCAGTGTTTAAAATTTGGTGTTAAAAAAAATTCAGATTCCGTACTCACTGGCAAGCTGCATGAACTGTCCCCCCAACTCTGCATATCTCCTGACACCATCACGCTGGGTTAGCGTTGATGTTGTCACCAGTGCAACAGAAATCAGGAAAGTAAACAATGGAGAGCAACATGAAAGGAAGCCAAGGTGTAGTCAGTGTGTTTTATAGTTTTGCTCTTTTATCTCACCGAATCTCTCCCTCACCAGCGCTGCGACATGTTTATTTAATAATAACAGAGCTGTTTCGGCTTGTTTGGATCAAACACGACTGGATCTATTGCGTTCAATGATCTCACATCATTTAGCGGGTCAACCCGGTTCTGGTGTTCTCACAGCATGCCGATCAGAGCCAAGGTGAGTCGCTTGACCCGGGACAGGGAGTTTTTCCCACTGCCACTAGATGCCAGTTGTTCCCGGGATGAAACAGGTTTTTTGGTACTAGAATAACTTGGATTGGACCACAAGAAACAGACTCGTAGTCCTGAAACATCCCAAAGTGGTTTCGGAGACAGTCACCTAACCATCTTTATTTGGCCCAATCCAACTTGCTCAAATCCTTATGTGTTCCGCTGCCTCTGAGAAATCAACTTATGGGAAACAGTTCTCTTGATCCTTAATGAAAACTACCCACTATATGGTCCACCACTGGCAAATATGTTAACCAGGTTTAATTATAGTAATCATAATTAGGGCTGAAGGATTTTGCCAAAAATCATAACTTCAATGATTTTTAACCAATATTGCATTAGTGATTTCATTTAGATTTTGCACTATTTACAGACATGTAGATGTATCACTCCAGCTTTTTTTTTTTTCATTTCATTGAAAGTTTGCTTGTCCAGATTTCGTTGTTGGACTTTACTGTAACCTTTTTTTGGAAAGTTCTTACTTCTACTTGCATGCATAGACCTGTGGCTCGCTGGATGTTTCCCTTTCATTTTTGTAGCAGCAAACCGGATATAAACACATTACAGCCACCTAAAGAGTGGGAAAGAGAAAATAATAGATTTCTTAAACTTGTTCATTTTAATGTGACCAAAATTGTGTGCATCTGCAATTTGACAATTGTATTTTGTTAATTTGCCACTATATTGCAAATGTGATCAATTTCCCTTTGTTATAATGACACGTCTGAATGGTTCCAGTCTTTCTGATTATTATGAAAATTTCTCACCTACTTTATTGTTGTGGTTGCAAATTATTTCTTTTTTTATTTCAAGTAGAGTTACTCCTCTTAAAGATTAATGTCATCTTCATAAAGAACCTTCTGCAGGACTGTGACATGTTTTAGCATGAAGAGTGTTTTAGCCTCCCTTCTATCTTTAAATTGGTGAAAGTGGAGGTGAAACTGTTTTGTAACTTTACCAGGTTGTCCAGTAAGGCCCCTGGTGGACTCATTTGATCACTAAAATGTGAAAATGATCAAATTTGTCCAAAGTGTAAAGGGATAAGAGAGAGTGTAGGTGACCTGAAAGCTGAGATAATCACTACACGGTTCCAATGTTAAAATGTTAAGTGTTTCTATTTCTTCTTTGTCCATTCTGGGTTTTTTTGGCGAATGTCATATTGTTCTTATGAGACCATCAACAGACAAGGCGAAAAACAACGCAGGTTCTGTCTGTTTATGTCAAATGACCAACAAGGCAAACCTGCATTGATTTGTTGCCATCATATTTCTAATTTAAAAAGGTTCAATGACCGCTGTGACCCCTGTTTGTGTGTCTCTTCTGATAGAAGAAATGCAGAACTTGGTTCTGGAGGCGCTCAAAGATGCTGTAACTCTGCTCCTGCTCTTTGTGGGGATTTTTCCTATCTTGACTGTTTATGTGATGGACATGCTTTTGCTCTTCTCCTTGGTTGCCACGGTGCCGAGCACTCGCTGACTGGTGGTAGGTTGCAGCTGTGAGAGACGTAACAAAACATAACACCGTTAATAGGATTAATGACCAGATTAGGGGTAAATGATGCAAAGGTTCGGCGCCATCTTGAGATGACTTACGTGTCATGCAGGTGACTTTAGGTGTTTCCCATCTGCCGTTGGAGCCGCAGCGAATAGTTGGAGTGTGTCTCTGGATGAAGCCCTTTTTACAATGATATCTGACCAGGGAATTGATCTCATAACGAGCTTTCTTTGCTCCAAACACCTCTGCATGCTTCACCACAGGGGGCTGGTTACAAGCCACTGGAGATCAAGAAACGAAAGAAACAAACTGTCATTACAGCGTGCTTAAATTCCCCAATGGCAAATTCTGTCATCAACGAAAGACATCTCAATAATAACACAAAACAAAACTAATCGTATTGACAGGGTTTCTAAGGAATCCTTATCAGTTGTACCCATTTGCTTAAAGGTAATGAAATAGCAATGCCTTAGGCCTGTGTTGCAGAGGCATCGAAGGACAGGATGACTCCCCACAGAGGCCGAGTGTGCCTGAGTGAGCTGGATTTATACGCCAGCGTGGGGCTCTGATAAGGTAAGCCTGTACCAGCACGTACCGCTTGAAACGCATGGTAAAACACTAATGTAAAACTCACAGTTTAACCCAAGAGGGCAGCAATAAGATGCTTTAGAAACAAATATTACGACTAAGAACTCTCACAGCAAAATGTGCCCAGATTATATGAAGGTGCAGTTCAACCGAAAGTATTTGTAAACACTCTGTGCATACAAGAAGGACAATACATTTTGTCTAAGTCCAAGCATTTTCAGTGAGCTCTAAGTGCCACAACTTCATTTGAGCCATTTTTCTGCTGATTGCTAAAATAGGTGTGCTGTGTTCAGACCTTTAGAACGGAGACCAGCTATAACACTTTAACAGTGGATACGTTAGAATAAGCCTGTTGGATTCAACTAGCTTACTGTAGGGTAGAGAACGCTGAATGGATGAGCAGAGGACATTTAAGAAACAGAGTTTTGTTAGGTTTCTTCTTTATACATCATGTGCATTGTTACTTTATTAGCCAGACTAGAGAGAGTGGATGGCCTTCCTTCACATTGTGGATGTCACTGTGTGTACGGAGGTCATCTAATCAGGACAGCCTTCGTGTCTTTAAAAATACACAGGATATTGGCACATCTTGGAGCCGGTCTGATAGAGGAGAGCTATCTGTAATCCTTGGGCATGGATGGTGTGTCACTTTCTGATACGGACAGCAAAGCATCCACCTGATCCAACACATAGACTCATGAGGTATAAGAAGGAGAAGATGACCTTGTTTAAGGCTCAATCTTTGGAGGTCACACGCGGACGTGATTTTTTGAGCCCACAGCTGTGCAAGCTCCAAGCTTTTTCTCTGTCCTGTTACGACCTGATCTGGAATAAACTCTGTTACATTTTTACTCCTGTTTTTATAGTCCTTTTTTCATGGTTTTACCCAGTTTGACTTAAGAGTAGTAAATAACTTGCTCCCAGGAAAAGGACCGTGAGGAAGCCCCCGAGGTGCAACGACCTTTTTTAGGGGACAAACTTCCTCATTTTAACAGTTTGAAATGGAGCAAAAGATATATATCATTAAAATCTACAACATCTGAAGGAGAGAGTGTTTGTGGTTATTTGAGCAAATACTGATTTGAAGAAAAAAAAAAGCAGCACGGTCTGTGAGAGTGGGAATAAATAAACATAAAGCTGTTAAAACTTTGAAAGAAAGGCCCCAGATTTAGATATTTGTAGTATTTTACACAACTGTATCTCCCCTGCTCTGACGCCAGTGGTTGCTACAGGCAGAAGTTTGATAGAGCCATAAAAAAATGGTCGCCTACCTGTTCCCTTTTTGCAGGTGAAGGTCAGGTGATAATTGCAGGGCACATCGTTCCATTGTCCGCCTTCATGCCATATCATCACCACACAGTCCTCTCCAGACTGGAAGAAGCTGTCTGGCTGGTTTGGCCTCCAGTTATCATATTGCTGCAAAAAGAAATCATAATTAATAATAAAAAAAAACAAATTACTCTGAACTCTTCTACTAAAGTTATCTGCTTTTTAAAGCAAAATATAGAATATATCACAGACCTCGATAGACCGTTTTAATGATTCACCTTTTTTATCGCGACATGTTTAGACTAAAAACAATCCTAATGTATCTCTTGGTATTATAACAGGCAAAGATAAAAGGAGACACTAAAGAAACGGTTTACTATACACTGGAAAAAAATCTAAATCTAGATAAGTCATTATTTCATAAAATAAGTGCATTTGTTCTTGAAATTAAAAGGTAAAAGACATATTTTGCCAATGGAACAAGACAATTTACATTTAAAATAAGCAAACACAATTACATTGTCTTATTTCAAGTGGATTTTATCAAAATACCTTATTCTAAGAGTAAAATACTCATTCAATTGGCAAATAATCTCATTTACCTTCTCAAATTAAGGGTAAATTCATTTAATTTGAGAAATTTTACTTATTTCTAGACCGTTTTTCCAGTGTATAGATGAAACAAACACACATTACGAAGCATTAGCACCATACAACACTTAAATTAACACCATGGGTAAATAAATTAAGGAAAAGACGTTCCATGACTAATTTTCCAACTCTGATTCATTTCAAGCTTATTTTTGGAGAAACTGTTGAAAAAAAAAAAAGAAATGCAGCTTCTGCAACTCTAAAGTTTTTCCTTATTCTGTCACGGCTTTTTCCATGTTTTTATAGTGATAAAACACTGAGGGAGGAGGGGAAATAAAATATAGACTTAGGGTTCATAAAGGAAAACAGTCAGTTGATTGATCCTCTGACATCATCTTCTCCAACATCTGCACAATCACATTAAATAAAGCTGCAAACTGGAGGCTGCCTTCTTAAAGCTGTTTTTTTTTTCCCCCTCACCAGTGACTGGATGTAATTCACAGAGAAACCACGTGGTTGTGCTGGTGAGCTGCCAAAAGAACAAGACTGGAAAAACTAAAACCATATGCAGTACATTGTGAATATCCAAGCATAAGGGTTCCTGTAGTTTGTTTTAGATTGTGTTGTGACTGTGGTTACTCCCAGCAGTAGGAACAGAAAGAGAAGCAGCAGGTTTAAACTGTCTTTCCATATATTGTGCAAAGCTGCCATAAAACAATTGCAATCAAATTTCAGGTTTTGTTTTTGCTGTGATCATATAATCTGGCTCACCTGTATGGAGTGAACTTTGTTCCATTATATTTGTAAGAAAAGAACATGTTTTATAAAATGAAATTAGACAAAAATATATATATAAAAACTAGACTAGCATTAATCCTTTTTGGTTAGTTTTGTTACTCTCAAAATATTCTTAGGTTACAAAGTTTTTGAAAGTTTTTTTTTTTTTTTTTTTGCATTTTAATGTCAACAATAACGGATGGAACAAATTCACCAGATACACTTATCTGGTGAATTTGTTCCTGGACACAGCTGAGGGCTCCCAGCGCACACACAGCAGTAGCAACACATGTGCGAGCTCCTCTGACATTTTCAGCTGGATTCGGGTTACTGTGACTCATGCATCACGGTGCGGTTAGGTCATCTGTGTACCTAATATTTTACAGTAACTCAGCAGGAGAACATTTTCTCTCTGTGGTAAAGGGAAAACAAAGTTGCAGGTTAACGTTAAAAAGCGTCACAGTGGCGCTGTGTGCATCATATGCAAAGTTCTGAATGACGTCTGTTTCACAGCATGGTTAATGTGCTCATCATTGTATTTAAAAAACTGAGGAAGCTTACTTGAGTTTTAGAGAAAAAGGAAATTATTCTTTTTTAACTCTTAGAATGTATTTCTTTTGTTTTAATTCATTGATTCCAACGTCTAATTTTCTTTGAGGTCATTACAACAAAACCTTATATTGATTTTATGCCCATTTTATAATTAGAGTTGTAGTTCTTCTCCAACAGTTTTTTCTTTTCAAACTTATTTGGTAGATTTAACATTATCTCATCACATGTGAATAAATATCCCTGCTCACCTGTGTGCACCTCTCAGATCAGGTGAGCAGGAAATGTTATGTTTTTCTAATGTTCATCTAAACCATAACTCTATTTTCTATGAAAACAATGGGATCCCAAAATTGAAAAGATTGGAAAACATTCTGCTCTCTGTTGCTGATAAAGGAACTAGAAGAGCTATGAAATTAATCAGGGATTGTTTATATACTTCGCATAATATTGAGTTATAGATGATACTGCCTACTAGTGAGCTGGTGTGAAAATTCTTTTTTCTTTTTTCGTTTCTTGCTGTACGTTGTGCATAACTGCAATTATGACAATGTCAGCAGTGTGTTACCAGCAAAGAAAACCCAAGTGGGATTCACTTTCAATTTGCTGGTTCCTAGAATTTCTAAAGGTAGAATGGGAGGCAGATCATTTAGTTATCAGGCTCCTAATGTGTGGAGGAACCAAACACCAGTTTTAGTCCGTGATGCAAAAACCCTGACTATTTTAAGGTTGAAATTCACTCTCTGCATTTGAGCCATCCCCCTGGGGACCAGTGGGTTGCCACTGTGTGGCGCCCGGGGAGCAGTGTGGGGTAAAGAGTTTTGCTCAGGAACCCTGAGTGGAGACTGTGGGGATCGGATTGTACCGGGTACTTTCAACCATCTCAAAGCACAAGCGCACTGCTCTAACCACCAGGCCAACACTCCCTACAACTTTCCTTTTTGATAAGATGGCTCAGGACATCTTGAGCCTTCTAGTTATGCTGCTATAGGCTTAGACTGCTTGAGCACATAGGGACCACTTTTCATCATTCTGCTTTATTCTCTCTATTCTCCCATAATAACACCATAATAACCTGTGTAATAATCCTGTACTATAAGTGCCCTCACCTATTTCACTTATGTCACTTATATTATTTATGTATTTTACATACCAGAAACCACACTTTACCATTAATAAGATACTGTTTAAATGAGTCACCTTAAATCTCTCCTTCTTTATTTTTTACATATCTGGATGCACTGTATATCCTTCATGCACCTTTTCCTCCTTTGTGCACCTTCTGTTGTTTATAAGAGTCAATGTCACAAGTGAATTTATCCATCAATAAAATTTTATTCTATTGTATACCCTTCTGTTCATTCTCTAACGTTCTGCTCTCTCTGCTTTTTCTCATATTCGCTTCATCTGGTCTGTTCCTGTTTGGCTGTGACTCCATCCTGGAGAGAAATATCAGCTGGGCTGCGTGCATCAATACCGTAGGTTATAGATGGGCCTTTTTATCACTGTTTTGTCGTGTTTCTCTTCTAGATCTTCTAGATTCATGATTTCATCTTTTTTGAATTGAAATCAAACAGAGCCAGCTGTGGAGCTGGTTTACTGTTACATTTTCTGACATGAACGTATTTCTGGATCACTCTTTATTTGTCCTTGTCTATTTCATTCACCTTGAACCCCCAGTAAAAAAATGATTTTTTTCTTCTCCACTTTCTTCCATTTATGCACTGTGATAAAGGTTGCTTTAGAGTCAAAGAAAAAATGCAAGCAAATATCCACTGTCTCTACATGCTGAGCCGAGGGGAGAGAATCCTGCAAAGTCAATGAGTGGATGAAATCAGCGGATCTTCCTTAGATAGAAAACCTTCAATTAACCTGACTGTATGATTTGAACCATCACGGTAAAGATGAGTAGTTGTGAATTCAAGCTACATAAACAGTATTTAATGGAGTTTGCACACAGTGTTCTTGTAGATGAGCATACCTGGTCAGACCAGCATACTCATAGTCAATGCCCGTTTATCTCTTTACTTTATCTTTTTACTTTTGTAAGAAAAATACCCCTGAAATCTACCTCAACGGGCGTGTATCCCTTTAGTCATGTACAAAAAACGATTTAATGACTTACTTTTTGGTGTTTTTCGAAGCGTATGGCGACCTGAATATAAATTGTTTTTTTTTTTGTACGTGACTAAAGGGGGTAGCATAAAGTCTATTTCTCATACAAAACTAAAGGAATCAACGCAAATCTGACATCATCAGATGAGTAATGACTGTTGGAATGCTGGTCTGATGAGGTATGCTGATCTGAAAGAACAACGGCTCTAGTTTCTGTGTCTCTTTCAACACGAAACAACCCAAATAATAATCTGAGAGTTTTTCTGCAAGTGATAACATTTTAGTTTATTTCTCAGTTTTATTCAAGTCATTGTTTCTTAAAAGACATGCATTTAGATCAATGGAAACCAAACTGATAAGTAATTAGATTCTTCTAAATGTATTTTACTCTCCTTTAGTGCTGAACTCAACTCTTTAACAATTAAGACCTTAGTGTACCGATCCCAGCATCACTCTCACCATTGGATTTCCGTCAGTCCACCTGAAGTCCTTCTCAAACATCCTGTCATTCAAGCCAATCCACTGGTAGTCACTGCCCAGACCTGCAGAGAGAGGAAAGACACAAACACCAGAGAAGCTAAACATTGGCTCAGTTGTAAAAGACAAAGAAGGAATGACTTTAGCGCCATGCAAGTTCTTTGAATAAATCAGACTTGACAATGAATGGCACATGGGCTCAATTGAAAACATAAAAAAACAAACAGCAAGGAACAAAGAGAGAAAGCTGCCAAGAAGGTTTACAGAAGGTTGAGAAATTAACGGTATAACGGTTTACTTACGGTTGACAAAGAGCTGCTCCTCGTGGGACAGGATGCTGGCCAGGTGGCCTCCATGCATCCGACATTCCCTCTCAGCAGAGTCCCACGTACGCTGGTGTTTAAAGTACTTGTAGCAGTGAGACTGAAACTTCTGCCAGCCAAATCCACACACCTCTGTGTCTGCACAGAGAGAAACACACATGGAAGTCATATAGGTAAAAGGCAACTACAAACAAAGCTCCTAAACACCATGAATAATTCTGATATTTTCATCAATGTTTTAGGCTTCATGTTCAGGTTTTTTGTCCATTGCAGGTGTGATGTCAGGACAAGAAAATCTAATTAGACAACATTTCGTCACTAATTGAACGTATATCCTGGTACACTGTTAGAAACAACCTATAGAATTTACCCAAAGAAGTTCAGGTACGGGCTTGCAGTGCTACAAAATTTAGGGTTCAATTCCCGGCCCAGGTTCTTTCTGTTAGCAGCTTCTCCTTGTGCATTCCTCCCACAGTCCAAAAACATGACTGTTAAGTTCATTGGCTGCTCTAACCTGTCCATGGTGTGAGTGTGTGCATAGTTGTATGTATCTGTGTGACAATGTGGTGACCTGTCCATGTTGTACCCCGCCTTTCACCCATAGACTGCTGGAGATAGGCACCAGCCCCACTGGACCCTGGAGGAATAAGGTCCAGCCAAGATGGATGGAAGTTATTTCATGTAGCAAGACGGCAGCGTTACACACAAGGCCACCAACTTCCCTAACATCTCAACACTGCATATAAACAGGGCAATTCAATTTTATTCAGTTTATTTCTGTAGCACCAATTCACATCACATGTCATCTAAAGGCACTATACAGTTCACCAGATCATCCAGTCAAAATGATTCAAAGTTCTATTTCATCCCTACTGACCGCCAGAGGGCGGTGCTGAAAGCACTGAATGTTCCCTTCGGGCATGCGCAGTTCGAGTAATTATACCAACAGAGTCACACCTGTGACACCGGATGACCACTCAGAAGCTATATAGCCTGGTGTCATCCTTTGCTCTGCTCCTTTTTTCTTCTCGCAAGCGGTTCGCTAACTTCCCCGTTGTCTGAAGCCCCTGTCTCTTGACCAGGAGTAGCGGCCCTCCCAGGGCTGCAACGGGTCGATTCTGAGGATTACGGAAGGTAAGTGAGTTGTTTGCTGGTGATGGTAGCGTCCGCGCCCCCTCTCCCGGCTCACGACTTTAGCTTTTTACCTACAGCTTCGTGCTGTTTTGTTTCGAACTGGTGACGGCAGCGTTTTCGCCCCTACTCCCAGTGTGAATAACTTCACTGCCGAAGTTATATACGGCTAACGTAGTTAGCTTCTTTAGTTTGTTGGTGTTATACCTGGTGACGGCAGCGGTTTTCGCCCCCTCTCCCAGTATATTCCCTACTTTTGCATCCCTTTTTTCACCGGTCTGCGCTGCTATAATTACTGACGGCCGCGGTTTTCGCCCCCTCTCCCAACCAAGTGTGGTCTACTTCGTTTGCCGAAGTTGGAGACGGCTAACGTTGTTAGCCTTTTTTGGTTTGTTTGCAGCCTTCTTCATCGGTCTGCTTAGTTATAAATGGTGACGGCAGCGTTTTCACCCCCTCTCCCAATATCAACCTTTTTTGCAGCCTTTTCGTTGGTCTGCTCTCTTAATTTGTGACGGCAGCGTTTATCGCTCCTACTCCCAACTTAAGTTGCCATACAGCTAACGTTGTTAGCTTTTTTTGTTTATTGCTTTTATACCTGGTGACGGTAGCGGTTCTCGCCCCCTCTCACAGTATCGGCCGCCTTGTGTCCGCAGCCTCTCTTGTTTTATCCGCTATAATTGGTGACGGCAGCGTTGTTCGCTCCTACTCCCAACTTAAAGTTTCCATACAGCTAACGTTGTTAGCTTTTTTGGTTTATTGGTTTTATACCTGGTGACGGTAGCGGTTCTCGCCCCCTCTCCCAGTATCGGCTGCCTTGTGCTCGCAGCCTCTTTCGTTTCTCTGCTGTAATTGGTGACGGCTGCGTTTGCGCCCCCTCTCCCGATTTTCTATAACTTTCTGTTCTTTAAGCCTTGTCGGCCTTCGACATGGATGGCTCTCACAGCTGCATAGATTGTGGGGCTGCCCTGCAGACAGAGGATGGCCACGACCTGTGCCCTACCTGCCTTGGACATGAGCACCTTTTGGAGGCGCTGTCTGAGAACCCCTGTATGAACTGCAGCTTTATGCCCCATGCAGTGAGGGTGGCCCGGTTGGCCCAGTTGTGCCCCCAGGAGGGCTCGGACCTTCCGCCCTCTGGGCAGGTGGTTCCCCCCAAGCGTTCTAAGCGCCGTGGTGGGACCACAGCATCTGTGCCCCTCCCCCGGAGGAAGCGGGCCAAACCTGACCAGGGCCTGTCCACAAGGGTGGAGCAGTTGTCAGCAGAGCTGGCAGAGATGAAGTCCTTGTTGCAGACGCGGCAATCTGATCCCTCGCTCCCAGTGGTTGGGCTCTCTTCCCCACCAAAGCCCGAGCTGGTTGTAGAGGATGACGTTATCTCTCTGGCTGCTTCCGCTTCTCATTTTAGAGATGAGGAGGAGGCAGGGTCCTCTCAAGCCTCTGAGGCTGGTTCATTTTCATCTCAGAGTGCGGTTGGAGAGGCCGGTGACGGTTCCATACGGGAGGTCATGTCTATGGCCCTGAAGCAGCTGCAGCTGGAACTCCCACAAGGAGAGGCATCCAGCTCTGGCAGTGCTTTTTTCAGACGTGGAAGGGCTCCTACTCCTTTTTCTGTACCTCCATCAGAGGAGTACCTGAAGGAGTTACACGCCTGTTGGCGGGAACCGAGAGCGCTGTCGCGTCTCTCCTCGGATGGTCGTGTATTAGCTGCCATGCATGAGTCAGTGAAGGCCGGCCTGGACCGTATGCCAACAATTGAACCAGCTGTTGCTTCACTGATTGTGTCACCAGATGAAGCCCTGCGTCCTGATGTCCGGTGCCCGCGGACTCAATGTCGGGTTACAGATGACCTCCTCTGTAAGGCGTACAATGCAGGAGCGCGTGCTGGCCGCCTTGGCAATTCCCTGGCGCACCTGATGTTTGGCCTGTCTGCATCTGTTCAGGACACTGGTGGTGCAAGTGCGGCGATTGGTTATAGTGACGCAGCGCTGCAGGCCTTCGCGCTGATGACCAGAGAGCTTGGACGGGTCATGTCTTTCCTTGTCCAAGCTCGTAGACAGGTCTGGTTGGCACAGTCTCCTCTGACTGAAGCATGCCGTAGGACCCTCAGGGGTGTCCCGGTTGTACCAGGGGAGCTGTTTGGATCAGCTGCCTTGGAGGCGCTGGAACGGACTGCTCAGGCACGTCAGACTAGCCAGCAGCTTTCCGGCCTTCGCAGGAGCATACCTGCCTTTCCCCAGCGTTCGGGCCGCCCTGCCACTACCCCCAGCGTTCAGCCACGACCTCAGACCGGTGGCAGACCTGTTGGTTCCTATCCCCATGATGTGCGGCAGAGACCGAGAAGGGACTTTCGTGAGCCAGTCTGCCGCCCTGTTAGACAGACCCGGGCCTCAAATCCTGGACGCCCTCCCCCCAGAGCCCCCAGGGGCCGTGGGGATAGAAGATGATGCCACCGGGCCAGCCGTCGGACATTTTTCCCATCAGCAGCTGAATTTTTGGGCTGCTCATGCCGTAGATCCATGGGTGGTTGCCACCTTAACCAATGGCTACAGGCTCCAGTTCCGACGGCGGCCCCCCCCTCTCACACCGGGTCAAGATGACTGTCATCACAGACCCGGTGAAATCTCAGGCACTAGACCAGGAGCTTTCCGCCCTCCTGGGCAAGGGGGCAATCGAGTCTGTAGATCCTCTGCAGCAACCCAGAGGCTACTACTCCTCATACTTCCTTGTGGCCAAGAAGACCAGCGGTTTTCGCCCCATTTTAGATCTAAGGGGACTGAATCGGTACCTGAAGGTCCTTCCCTTCCACATGCTCACCATAACAGAGGTCCTTCAGACCATTGTGGCGGGAGATTGGTTTACATCAGTAGATCTGACAGACGCCTACTTTCACGTGCCTATTGCGGCAGAACATCGCCGTTTTCTCAGGTTCGCCTATCGGGGGCGCCATTGGCAATTCCGGGTGCTCCCATTCGGGCTCTCCCTTTCCCCGAGGGTGTTTACGCGATGCGTGAAAGCAGCCCTCTCTCCTCTACAGGCCTCCGGAGTCAGGATTCTGCCATACCTGGACGATTGGCTTCTTTGTGCTCCCTCTCAGGTAGCTGCCTCTCGGGATACGTCCCAGCTTCTACTTCATGTGTCACTGTTAGGCCTCAAAGTCAACTTGGCAAAGAGTTGTCTTGTTCCATCTCAGACAACCACCTTTCTTGGGATGCATCTGGACTCTGCTACCATGATGAGCAGCCCCACGAGCCCCAGATTGGGATCTGCCATTGGTTCTCACAGCTCTGTGCCACCCTCCATTCGAGCCTTTGGCACAAGCAGAACTCAAGTGGCTTTCCTGCAAGACTGCTTTCCTGATGGCTATCGTCTCAGCTAAGAGGGTCAGCGAGCTACATGCTCTTTCTGTCAGCCCTAGGTGTATCAGGTGGAATCCAGATGGCTCTGGTGTTACCCTGTGGCCTAATACTGCGTTTGTGCTTAAGGTGTTGTCTCCTTTTCACCGTAACCAGCCATTGCGGCTCGCTCGGTTTCAGCCTCAATCTGGTACAACTGAGAATGAGTCTGAGTTGTTGTGCCCAGTAAGAGCGTTGGAGGCGTACATTGCAGCCACCGCCAATCTGAGACGCTAGGCTGTCCTCTTTCTAAACAGCGTCTGTCCCATTGGATTGTGAGTGTCATCTGCCACGCCTACGCTGCAGGTCACTGCTCCCTGCCAGTCGGTGTGAGAGCACATTCCACCAGGAGCGTCACCGCTTCCTGGGCTGCTTTGAGAGGGGTTCCGCTGGAAGCTATATGTGCTGCTGCTTCATGGGCTTCCCCAACCACCTTCACCAGGTTCTACAGTGTCAATGTGGCTGCCCCTCATCCCCTGGGTCAGGTCCTTTTACAAGGTTCTGCTGGGCCTCCTCTGTGAGGTATGTGCTCAGGATTCCTTGTGACATCGTTGGCATTAGTCATTCAGTGCTTTCAGCACCGCCCTCTGGCGGTGAGTAGGGATGAAATAGAAC